CATTCCTAGAGAACAACTCACATGATATTAAATTTCTACGATGAGGCAGAAGGGAAAGATATAATATGGAATGAAAAGAATCATAGATTATATATCTGGTAAGGCTATGATGAAAGAAATCTAAAAGTAAAGTCCATTAGCAAACATCCCTTTGAAGTATGGCTACAGAAAATGTTCTGAGGAGGAAAAAAATGAGAACAGAAAGAAGTCTTGGAAATTCAGAAGGAAATAAGAACATTGCAATGGGTAAAATAGAAAGGTAAATAAAAGACTTTTTTCATGGGTTCTTTAAATTGTATTTGATATTGGAAGCCACATCTGTAACATCCTATAATGTTTTGCCCTATATGTAAAGAGGAAATAGTTAAAACATCTTATTTAGAAAGTAGAAAAGTAGAAAAGCACTTTCTTTCCATAGTTTATTCAAAAATGCCAAACCTCAGTCTTAATTGCTTAAAATGTATCTAAATCAATCATGACAAGCTGTATCTTTGATCGGAAAAATAGCTATCAACAATCTGACAAAATCAAAAAGCACTGAGAGCATTTTTTCATACACGTAGAACAAAAAATAGAAATTAATAACAATATCACATGAGATGTCTCCAAACATTTGGAAATTGAGCAACATATTTTTCAACAATTTCTCAACAACCTATCAGTCAAATAATTCTTTCAACTTTTCAGTAGGAAGAATAATCTAAAAAAGAACGAAACTAAGTGAAAATAAACACAAAATATGTGGTCAGTAACTACCATAGTGTTACAATATTTCCAGAACTGAATTCTCATATTAGATAAAAAGAAATTCTCAAATTAATTAAGTCTATTCATTTCCCTTAAAAAAATAGAAAGGAGTAGTCACAAGGAAGATAAGCTTTAAAAATGAACAAAATTGAGAAAAGAAAAATAGTACAGAAAAATCAATGATTCAGAAAGGTAGCTCATCTAAAACTAATAACAATGATGAATGTTCAGCAATACTGGCAAACATGGAGAAAAAACACAAATTACCATTAGTAGTAATAAAACAGCTATTGTCATCCTTCAACCATAGAGAAGATGCTAAGAGTATATTTCAAATAACTATATTTACATAGTTGAAAAATTTAGGGAAAAATATGAATCAATGCCTCAAAACAACCAACTGCCAAAATTTTGCCAAAATGAAATCCATAACTTGAATAGTCCTATATCAAATTGAAAATTTTCATGTGTTATTTAACTGCCCCCTTTGAAAAGTCAAGAAAAACACCTTAATTTACAGTCCAACCCAAGCTAACTTCAGCAGTGTTGTCATTTATTGCAACAAAGAGCTTGATTAGTACAGTAAAACTTTTACATTAGTGTTGTCTGCCTAAACACAAGGCCATCTGCTCCCTCATAAATTTGTATATTTGTAATTAGTGCATACTGAAATTTTGGGAAAGTTTTCCTTTAAAATAGCAATCAATACCTCTCCGTTTGCAGCCAAAAAAAGGTTTTAATTGTCTCCTTGGCCATTTCTCAGCATAATCTACTTGTTAATTCATTTAATCAGATTTACCCTCTGGTTTAAATGTTGAAAAATGCCTTCTTCAGAATTACAGTAATTGAACTGATTGATGTGTTTCTCATAGTTATTACACCTTTTCAAATCTGTTTATCAATTTAATGTTTTAGCTTAATTTAAATCACAAGGACTGTTTATAAAATTAGGTGTTTAATATATTATGAGTTTGCTTAAGCGGAACTCTCTCAAAGAGAAAACAGAAACAAAAGCCTATTAAAATCTGTTTTGGCAATTCCATTCTGATTTGGACTTAGAGTACTCCAGCACAAATCTTAGTAATTCTGATTACTTTCTACCAAATTAAGAAGAAATGACTTGTGAATTGTATAATCTCTGTAAATGAAATTCCCAAATGAGATACCATGAAGTCTTCATTTATGGATATATGATTTTCAGGATTTCCTCCTCTGCCAAAGTGATTAAGCTCTTCAATGCATCTGACATAAAACCTCATTGTACTTGGTTGACTGATAGATCAAGTGTTTCTCTGTCCTTATAACATAATGGCCCAGACAAAGCAGCCTGCTCCTGGGGCAATCGTTAATGAGACATTAGAAGTCACAGGAGAATCTGAAAGCCTTTGTCGACCTGTGGATTCTAATTTTTAAAAGGGTGATGGGATCAAATCACAGCCCTAGATACTTAGTTTCCTATCACAGTGACTTTCTCTCCCACCCTCCCTATCCTGCCCACATCCCTTGGTTCTTCTTTTCAGCTCTCTAGGTTTCTGGACCACCTCTGAATAAAACCTAGAACCATTCCTTGGAGTGGTCTCCCGAGTCTCCACCCACCTTCACTGGAAGGCTTCCCTCCCACCTAATACTCTTCCTCTATTCTTCCCTGCTGTGTCTGGCTCTTAGCAAGCTTTCAATTAATCCCTACTGAGGTGTAAACTGATAACCAATGTGTTAACCCAAGTGTGAATCCTCTCTGGACCCTTTCAACGTGGTAAACAGGCTGTTTGAAAACCCAAATGTTCAGTTAAATGGAGTCCCTGACAGAAAAAACTTCTCTGTGATTAGTCACATCACACTTGGTCGATTTTTACTCTCTTTACCAGCATGCACCATCTCTTGGCTTACACAATGGCAAGGAAGAAAGGTTTGAGAAAGGAGCTCTGCAATTAGATGAGCTGTGCACAAAGACTCGGAAGACACCCAAGGCAGGGCCCACCTCTTCTACCTGCAGAGCTTCAGACTGGCAATTCGACTGTAAGTCTTCTCTTACTGTCAGATCGCAAGCAAAATTATCTATCTTTGGAGGATTTTAAGATGAGCGCAATTGTCAGTGGTATGTGTGGATCAACACAGTCTAGAAAGTTGTGTCAGTTTGGTCACAGATTCTGTAGACACATGTAGACTGATCATGGAATCTCTATCATCGATACCTATATAGTTACCATATGGATAGGTATAAAGATATATAGTGTATAGAGAGGTAAAGAGGTAAATAATTTAGATAGATCTCCATCTGTGTCCTTGTCACTGTTACTCTATATATGCACATACATGTATATATAATGTATATCCTCTGACATGATACATCAAACATTCCCAGAATCTAAAGATGCCTATACACATGCAATGGGTGATGAAGGAACATCACTCTTCATCAAATTAGAGATGGTTTTTTGTAGCATATAGCACGTATCTATTCAGAGCAAGGCTACAGATTGGAGAAGATCACCATTACTTCAAAATTGTACTGACTTCTGCCTCAGGGCTTCGTTTAAAGCACAATTTCTGTGCTTTCTCCATAGAAAAGAATGAAGTTTTCAGATAGGATGAGCTATTTTTATGGAATTGAGAAGACACTACTTTTTGAATCTTTGAGTTGGGGGCAGGGTATAAAGACTGCAGGGCCTGGGAGAAGGAAACAGTGATGGTGGAGGATGGGCCTACCATGAATTTCTTAATGATGAAACAAAAAATGCAAATAAGCTGGGAGACACGGTCAGGCTCCTTGTGACCAAACAAAATAAATAAGTCATGTGCTGTGGGATGAAGCTTCTGTGAATTTTGTCTTTTTTTCCCCCATGATGTGTTCCAACTTAAAAGAATTGGGGGAAATTGAGGAAAATACCTTCTTTGAACAGTAGCCATTATTTCCTTTCATTTGGGTTACATCTAGTTCTGTGAGTTTTAATTTTATATTTAAAACCGGAGATACACATTACGCATTGTTTGATGTCTCTTTTCAGAGCATTTGAAAAATGTCACACACGTGTCATCTGAAGTTGAATGGAAGACATTGGCAGTCAGTATTGTTACTATTTAAACAGCCTTTGAAGTTTTGCAAGCTACAAGGCATTTTTTTTAAAGGTCATAGCTTTGACATGTAATTTTGGTGACCTATTAATAATTCTAATAAAGATACATACCATGATTGTAGTCTTTTAGCTTTCATAAATCTGTAGCCTAGATCTATCTGCAAGGTATACAGGAATCTTTGTAATCTAATGTCCTTCCAGTTTATTTCCAATATGCAGAAAGAACTATAAACAGTCAAATATTTTGTCATGAAGAAAAGCTGTAGTATTGAAGAGCAAAAATAATTTTTAGGGCTTCAAGTTTTCCATCTTGTTTTGCAAGAGCGAGACTTCGTAGCTTTATTGATTTATTTATTGAAGTGTATGATTTAGGTCCCTAGAACATACAACAGAGAGGCCAAGGACATTTTGTTAAGAAGACTATGCTAAGTGTGTGAGACTGAGGTGTATGTAAACACCCTGCCTGGTAATGATTCTGTCTCTAAAGAAGAAGGAGAAAATAAAGAGCCAGAAACTTCAGCCCTGTAACCTCAAAGTTGATGCTGTACACGAACAGCAGAACTCTCGACTTGAACGCTTTTTCAGGACCCCAGGAAGAGCCTTGCTTCTGGGGCAGGAACTGAGTCCGGGTTTAAGGGATAGAAGTCCAGGGCATTCCTCCTTGGTGAGGCATAAAGTTTTCTCCAGCTCCCATTCCCCACGTCTGCCTGGCCTGACCACCCTGAAACTGTAGCACCCCCCAGAGAACCCGGAGGGATCACAGACTCTGTGTGAACCCCAAGAGCTGAGAGAGGGAGCAGGCGAACGTGAGAACCCCTTTCTTCGGAGGGGTTAGCAGAGAGGTGGGGGGGAGAGAAGGGGGAGGTGATCCTAGGCGAGCAGCTACCCCATCCTCTCGGGCTCGGCTCTAGTCAGGCATCCACCGCGTCCCTGCCCACTGCGGCTTTGAATTCTGCGGGGAGGGGGGGAGGCTGGGAGGGTGGAGGTGGGATGGAAGGGAGGAGGGGGAGGGCGGGGTGAGCCGAGGGGAGTCCGGGAGGGCTGG